CAAAAGCACGCTGTCCTCCACGCTGCCACGCACACACCTGCACCTCCCATTCCCTTTGCAGCACTGCCCCGTCAATCCTACACCTCCGTTCCATCCCGGGTGTAGATGAGGCTGTTGACTGTGAAGTTGTAGTAGTGGTTGTACTGGGCGCCCTGGCTGCCGCTGCTGGGATGGAAGGAGCTGTAGTAGGCAGGGGAAGGTCCCGCCACTCGCTGCAGCTGTTCTGGTGAAGGCACCTCTTGAGATGAGCTGCTGGAAGGGGTGAAAGTGCCACTGCTCAGCTGTCCAGCAGAGAAGTTCCTGTGATGCAGGTCAGTGCTGAGCCCTCCCGTCAGCCGGCTGCCCCCGCCGCTCAGCGAGCTCATGCCGCTGAAGAAGGTGCTGAGGCAGCTCGGGGTGGATGAAATGATACCGGAGGGAGAGGAGCTTTTGGGATGGTCCCTGGCAGAAGGCGATGGGTCCAGCTCTGGGGGTGGGCTGTTTCCGCAGGGTTTGCCTGCGGCTGGGATGGGTCGCTCTTCCTCGGCCTTCAGGCCCCCGAGCGAGGAGGCCGCAGCCGTGGTCGCGGGGGTGTTGGGCTCTGAGCGTCGCTTGCGCTTGCGCCGGAAGTTCCCGTTGTCAAACATCTTCTCACAGTTGGGATCTAAGGTCCAGTAGTTTCCTTTTCCTGGTGGAAAACAGGAGAAGCAAGAGAGAAAGTCAGCTTCTGTGACAGAGAGCCCTGCTGCAGAGGGATAAGCAATATCCATGCTTTGCCCAACCAGCGCAGCACCCACACCTGCTCCTCCTCTGCCTGTTGTCCAGTACAAGAATCCAAAACCTGGCCCTAAAACATCATCACCCCCTCCCATGCAATGCCCAAGTGAACGTTAAGGCCACATGGAGACGGGGACTCCCCACCACAGCTTCAACCTCTACTTCAGACCTGCCTGAAGGGAACACAAAGCAGGGCTTCCTTGGCTGTGGGTGCCTCTTGGCAAGCAGGGATACCCACATCTGCAGCATGGCAAAAATAGTGGAGACCCTGCCATGGCTCTTCTCAGAAGAGCTGATGGAAAGAAAGGTCAAGAGGTAATGGCTTCAGTTGCACCAGGGGAGGTTTAGGTTGGATATTAGGAAAAATGTCGTCTCTGAAAGAGTGGTAGTGCATTGGAACAGAGATGGTGGAGTCACCATCCATGGAGATATGGCACTGAGGGACATCGCTTTGTGGGCACCGTGGTGATGGGCTGACAGCTGGACTCGACTTGAGAGGTCTTTTCCAACCTTAATGATTCTATAATTCTATGAAAGATGGGTTCAAGCTGCCCTATGCCCACTACTTTGTTCCAGGGGGCTGTGGTGCCATTAGCTGCCTCCACACAGCTAATGGGAGCCATGGCCTTGCTGTGTCCCCTCAGAAGTCCCAGCCCTGAATGTTCCCATCCCACTCAGCACTGTCCCAGCACACCCCTACGCTACACCCACTCCTGGGCACCAGCTGTGCCCCGGGGACAGGCCGGCAAGAGCTGGGCAGGGAGGGGAGCCGTGAATCACGGCCAAAGGATCCAGGCCTTGCACAACCAGCCCTCGTGGCCTCAGCCCACCCGGCCTGCCCAGACAGGGGGACTGAGGATTGGGGCCAGCCGCCATCCCCTACAGGAAGCAGTGGTAGACCCAAGGAGGGCAAAAGGAGCTCGATCTCCTCAGAAGGGGACAAAAGGTGGGAGAGCTCCTCAAAGCCCAGGCTTGGAAGGGCTGAGGGCACCTGATCTCTTCATAGTGGTGGGGATAAGGGAGCCTGGGGATTGCCATGAGTGGACAAGGGAGCCTGGGTTCCTCACAGGGATGGCTGTGAGCGACCGAAGGAGCATGGGCTCCTCAGCACTGAGCTCATGGGGTGCAATCAAAGGGATGGCTACGAAGGACAAGGAGAGCGTGGTCTCCTCACGTGGATGGTCACTGACGGGACAAGGGAGCTCCTCAGAGGGTTGGTCAGAAGGGGTACAAGGACCCGAGTCCCCACACAGCAATGGCCGTGAGGGAATGAGGGAACAGGTGAGCCTGGTTCTCTCACAGGGATGGCAATGGCGGGGTAAGGGAGATGGTCTCCTCATAGGGATGGACACGATGGAGCACAGCCCTCTCGTAGGGACGGCCACGAGTGGACAACAGAGCACTGTCCCCCCATAGGGATGGTCACGAGGGCACAAGGGAGACCGGTCCTCTCACAGGGATGGATATAAGGGGACAAGGGAGCCCGGGGACCGCACGGGGAAGAGCCCACACTCCCGCATCCCCTCACATCCCCGTCCGGGGGCTCCGAGCCGCCGCCCGCCCCCCATCCTCACCGGGGTCGTCCTCGTCACGGGGCACCTTGCGGAAGCAGTCGTTGAGGCTGAGGTTGTGGCGGATGCTGTTCTGCCAGCCCGCCTTGCTGCGCTTGTAGAAGGGGAAGTTCTCGGCCACGTACTGGTAGATGTGGCTGAGGGTGAGCTTCCTCTCGGGGGCACTCTGGATGGCCATGGCGATGAGCGCCGAGTAGGAGTAGGGCGGCCGCACCAACTTCAGCAGCTCCTCCTGGCTCGCCAGGCTCAGCCAGCTCAGCTCCGCGCCGCCCGCCGACGGCGAGCCTGGCCCCGAGGGCGAGCCCACCAGCTGGCCGCCCCGCGAGCAGCCGTACGAGGCGGGCGGCAGGAAGGGCGACGCGGCGGCCCCGGAGCCGGGCGGGCCCTGCAGGTACGGCGCGGGGCTGTTCATGCCCCACAGGTAGCCGGCGTTAGCGGGAGCCCCGTAGTCCCCCAGCGCGTACCCTCCCGCCCGTTGCCCCGACGAAGCGGCGGCAGCGGCGGCGGCGGCGGCGGCCGCGGCGGCGGCGGCGGCGGCGCCGGGCGGGTGGAGGCTGGGCTGGGGGTAAACGCTGAAGTTCTCGCTGCAGTACACCGCCATCTCGGGGGCCTCCTGAGCGCTGCGGGGCTGCGGGGGCACGGGGGCGGCCGCCGGCGCCGAGGGTCTGGGCTGAGCCTGCTGCAACTCACCGGCGCTCATAATCCCTCGGCCATGCAGGGCGGCTCGCGGCTCCTTACCCCCCCCGCCCGCCCCGGGCCCCCCCCCCCCGGCCTTCAAACCTCCCCTTTCGTCGGACCCCCCAAAATCCCAGGGGGGCTGAGAAGCGGCGGCCTTATAGGCGCTGCCTTGCGGGGCCGGCCGGGCGGGGAGCAGCCAGCGGGGCGGGGAGGGAGGCGGGGAGGGGGGGCGAGGCCGGGCCCCAAAAGCGGCCATAGGGGAGGGACCTGGGGTGTGTCGGGGTGTGGGTGTGTGGGGTGGGGGGGTTGGATCCCGGCTGGATGGCCGAGGGGGTGCGGGGAGCTTCCCCCCGTGGCCGTGATTCCCTGCTATCCATCAGCCCCGATCCGAACTTCGGGAGGTTTGGTGCAGATGAGCACCGTGTGGTGCCCCGACGGGAAAGCGAAGTTTCGTTTCAGCTCTTTATTCAGGTGTAATTTTGCCTTTGCTCTTAATGAGCTTTGGATGAGGAATTACCCCGAATTAAACAAACAAACAACCGCCGTGCTCGCTCCCAAAGGGCCGGCAGTCACAAGGCGTGATTTTCTAATAAAAGTTGGGTTTTGCCTTCTGCTTGCGGGGAAAGCGAGGGGAAAAGCGCGTCCTTTGGGAGAGGAAAGCTCTCGGGATCCACAGCTCCGACACCGTCCATAGGGAGACGCCGCCTCCGGCAGATCCCTCGTGTCCGGGACAAACGTCGGATCCACCCGGACAGACAGAAGAATACGAATGTAGGGAATTTTTGTCCGTCACTTTGAAGATGTAAAAGCCCGGGTGTTAAATGCCATTGTTCTATCATTCTGTTTTCTGCCGATAAATAGACGTAAAAATCCCCTTCCCGCGTATATACAAATGCGAAGAGCTCTCCCCAGGGCTGCCACCTCACATCGAGATTTTGGGGAGAAGTTCCCATGGGTTTCATGGAGAAAACTGTTAAAATCGCACATGTACAGCAGTGGAGCTGTTGCAGGGCAAATGTCCTGGGCTTCCCAAATCGCGATATCCGACCCTTGTGTCATCTGAGCAGGGATGTAAGAAATGGAGCATTTTCACCATTACATTTCGTTTTAAAACAAATGGACAATTTTGGGGAAGGAAAATCACAAGTGTGAGAAAGAAATACAGTTTAGAGTTTCCTGTTTTAATCATAATGGGCTTTTCTTTTCTTTTCTTTTCTTTTCTTTTCTTTCTTTTCTTTTCTTTTCTTTTCTTCTCTCTTCTCTTCTCTTCTCTTCTCTTCTCTTCTCTTCTCTTCTCTTCTCTTCTCTTCTCTTCTCTTCTCTTCTCTTCTCTTCTCTTCTCTTCTCTTCTCTTCTCTTCTCTTCTCTTCTCTTCTCTTCTCTTCTCTTCTCTTCTCTTCTCTTCTCTTCTCTTCTCTTCTCTTCTCCTTCCTTCCTTCCTTCCTTCCTTCCTTCCTTCCTTCCTTCCTTCCTTCCTTCCTTCCTTCCTTCCTTCCTTCCTTCCTTCCTTCCTTCCTTCCTTCCTTCCTTCCTTCCTTCCTTCCTTCCTTCCTTCCTTCCTTCCTTCCTTCCTTCCTTCCTTCCTCTTCCTCTTCCTCTTCCTCTTCCTCTTTCCTTTCCTTTCCTTTCCTTTCCTTTCCTTTCCTTTCCTTTCCTTTCCTTTCCTTTCCTTTCCTTTCCTTTCCTTTCCTTTCCTTTCCTTTCCTTTCCTTTCCTTTCCTTTCCTTTCCTTTCCTTTCCTTTCCTTTCCTTTCCTTTCCTTTCCTTTCCTTTCCTTTCCCTTTCCCTTTCCCTTTCCCTTTCCCTTTCCCTTTCCCTTTCCCTTTCCCTTTCCCTTTCCCTTTCCCTTTCCCTTTCCCTTTCGCCTTTTCCCTTTTCCCTTTTCCCTTTCGCCTTTTCCCTTTTCCCTTTTCCCTTTTCCCTTTTCCCTTTTCCCTTTCCTTTTCCTTTTTCTTCTTTTTCCCCCTATGGTTGATAATTTTATTCTGTATCTTTTTGAGAAAGCATTCACCCTCTGTGTGTGTGTTTGAGTATTCATGTTTTGCATCGTCTTTTACCTTCTCTCCTGCTTTGCCTATAAACTTGTATTATTTCAAACAGCTCGGCAGCAAACTGGAGAGCAGTTTTACTAGAAATGCTGATTTAAGTCTGACCGGACAGCATGCATCCGAAACAAGAGGTTTATCGCCAATTCCTGGCTAGAAAGGGCAGCTAAAGGACAAGAGGAGTTTTAGACTTTCCTCTGAGTTTGAAGAGCTAAGCTAAACTTAACTTGTTATTCCCTAAAATTACAAAAAAACGGCGTTTATCCGTTCACTTCTGCGATCGGGGCGGGAGGAGGAGAGCAGCCGGAGCGGTGCTGCCGTATCGCTGGAAATTTGGGTTTTTGCTTCGGGGGTTTGATGGATTTGGGCAAAGGCAGAGCCCTCTAGAGGAGCAGCCCTACTATTGCTGGGATTGCAGTTCTCGGAGCTGTGCGTGCCGCCTTCGAGCTGTCTCGAGTTGATTTCTCTCCTCCCAGCAAAGGAAATGGGTGAGAAAAGAATGCTGAATTAGCTCTAATAAAAACGCGTGTCCTTAGAAAACTCCAGCTTGCTTTCCCAAACACCGGGGAACGTGGAACAAAAATAGCTCTGGAGAGGTTGTTACACAGCCGCCATGGCACAGATATGCAAACCGATGCTTAACTTTAAGTGGAGAGAAGAAAGCTTTGATGGTGTGATGGCTTAAAGAAGTTTAATTTTCTTAATGCCTTTATCCCGCGACTAGCATACAGCATTGCCTCAATGCATTGCTGGCTCTGTGTACAAACCTGCTGCTGCTCCTTTTTGGCATGAGGAGAGCAACGTTATGAGCTCCAGAGCTCTGCCACCGTGCTCTCCGAACAGAGAGGTCTGTGCAATGCCTGCCATGTAGAAACACACAGAGAAGTGGCCAGTGAGGTGCCAAGATGGAAAACTGAACTCATTTTCCAGGTAAGAGGCTGGGGCTGCTGTCCAAACAGATTCAGAGTGGGGTTTGAGCAATGCTGTGGGATTACTCTGATTCCTGAGTCACTGGGACATTTGTGAGCAGGGCATTATGAGCAGGGCAGTGAGGTCTGACAGGTCAAGGAGCCCAGGGCATGTGGGAGCTGGGGTTGAGGCTCATCCCCTCCAGCTGAGATTAGGTGCTCTCCTTTCTAGCAAGCTGCCTTTGAAAGTGGTGCAGGTCTTCCTGAAGAAAAGTGCTGCAGGAGAGCAAAGTCATCCCTGACTGGTGCTGTGTTCTGATTCCTATGTGCTGCTCCTTGTCGTTCGTGTGGGAAGTGCTTTTCTCCCTGATGGGAAGGCATTGTCTTTGCCTCTAAGGCCCTCTCCTCTGAGCATGTAGGTACAGGCTTAGTTGCTGTGAAGCTCAGGTCTGTACAGCTGAACACGGAAATGTGGAAACACTTCAGCCCTGAGCACCCAGCTTTGCAGGGAGAGCTGTTCCCTGCACCCACCTGGGTCTCTTTGCTTCCCAAGGATGCTGAGCTCTAGCCATGGGTGTTAGAGTATCAGGACCTAACAGCCTGTATTTGTGCTGTTGGCTTTTCTAGTGGGAGAGAGCCCAGAATCTCTTCAATGGCTCCAAACTGCTGCAGTGAAGCAGGAACCACAGGTTTGATTTGGTTTGGTTTGGTTTGGTTTGGCTGCATTTGCAATATAAGTCTCAGTTTCTCCCTAAGGCTGGCAAGAGGCGAGGCAGGAACTCTGTAGCCCACATATAAAATAATTCCCATGTGCAGATTGTATCTTCTCCAGAGTCATCCACAAAATTGGGAATGAGTTCCCCATCCCCATAAGGGACAACAAAGGGAAATTATCCTTTCTCTTGCAGTGGTCCAGGACTGTGGCTCCACTCTGTTTCTTCGGTGATATCAGAAAGGAGTTGAATGAGAACTAATCAAATTAAATTTAAAGGCCATGCATTGTACCACTCCCTTGTTTACAGCAAAGCCTGTCCCTTCCCAGGCTTTTTACATTACACACATTAATCTGCTCTATGCCTTGATTCTGGGAAGTGTGTTTGATATTCTTCCCTCCCTGTATCCAGTCATCTATTGGACTGTCACCCAATGATAAGATCAGAGGCTTTAAAACTTTCTTGATTTTTCAGACCCTACAACATTTCCTGAGGAGATGTCCTCATCCCATTATTTTCAGGCTACTGACAACAGGCTCGGTTGGGTTCTGTTTCTTGTTGTTCACATTCGTAAAAGTAGTGCAAGCTGCGGACTGAGAACTGCTGAGATAGATAGCCAGCATTTTGGAATGGCAGGTATTTTTCCTTTGTGTTTAGATGGTGCTGAGTGTGATGGAGCCCATAGACTCTGCCACAAAACAAGGAGTAAGTCATACTTTAGCCATAGTTACTCAAGACTCGTGGGTGAACCCCACCACTGAAAGCAGCAGTTCTGCTGTTTCCACTTCTGTCTGTAACCTCTGTAAGGTGTTGGTCGCTGTGCTCATGATAAAAGTGAGATTAAATAGATACCTTGGGAGCGAGGCTGTTGAAAGTGGGAATCACAGGGTTTGTGGGGGTAAGGGGATAGGGTCAGGCTTCAGGAGATCTGTGTGTCACAAGTGATTTTACCAAACTGGGAGTGAAACCTGAATTTTAGGAGAGAGAGGAGACGGAAGGAAGGCAGCTGTTTGCAGCAGGATCAAGCACACGCTGCAGGTGTTCAGGAATGCATTTGCAGAAGCACTTCCTGCATAAAGCTGGAAGCTGAGCTGGGTTGAAATAAAACAGTGTATTTGTATTTTCTCTTTTCTTGTTCTTGTTGCATAATGGGATATTTGAAATGGGGAGTTTGAACTAGTTGACCTTTTATGTCCCTTCCAACCCAAGCGATTCTATGTTTCTAAATGGAGATTGCTGCTCTGGGCTGGTTGCCCTATACTGATGACTACTGGAGAATAATGTGAAGGCCAACATCTTCTGGTCTTAATTTATCTGAACATGTCTGCTCTGCCCTGGAATGAGTAATGGAAGTATTTGAAGGTAAATTTCTGGTCAGGTAAGGTAAAAATAATCGAAACGATTGCTAGATACAGTAGGCAATAGACACCGCCATCACCGCCATAAGGAAATGGAAGAGTATTAAATTGATATTTCTTTTCCATGTTTGTTTGGGGAAGATTATTATCAGGTGCTGGTGAAAGAGCATTTAGTGCTCCATTAATAGCTAAGGACTAGGTTAAATGGCAACCACATATGTCAAATATTTTATAATTAGCCAATCAAGGCAATTTATAGTCAAGAGTTTCAGCGCTCTTGGAATGAGAAACATGTTGGGCCATTTCTGCTGATATATCACTGTGGGACATTGGAGAGGTTTTAGAGGACTAAGAAAACTGGTATCTGCTTGTTATTTAAAAGGATTGAGCAAATGGTGTGGGGAATACCAAGACTGTTACCTTGTCTCTGTCTCAAGAAAGAAATAGTGGACGCATCACTTGGTTTGTGATTTAAAAGGACATGAAATTAATGCATTTATAGCAAACAAGCCTTGTCAAATCAATTTGCTGTTGCTCTCCAGTAAGAATAAGCAACTCCTCAATGTTACTGATTTCTGAAAGCATTTGATTCATCAGAGGTGAATTTAAGTAAATAAATAAATAAAAGTATAAAATCAACATGGTGCAAATTGAGTGGTTCTAGTTGATTAAAGAGAGATCTCAGAATGTCACTGTAAACAAATCCTTGAGTCTCATTGCAGGAAAATCCTATGGAAACAGGTTAAATATTGATTTGTATTAAGTATTGCTGTTGATTTGGGGTGAAACAGAGAATCATTGATGACTTAATTTGTAAGGTTAGATCCTTACACAGACTTAGATGATTGAGGGTATGTAGACATATATAAATAATGAAGAGGACAGTCCATGGACACAGATATGCCTTGATCTCTGCATGGGAACTGGGAGCAAATGGGCAGAATGTAATTCAATGTGGAAGGGCAAAGGGTAGAGCTAGGAACAAAATCAGAGGCTGATGAGGTAATGAAGACCAGCCTGGAAATTCATTATTTTTCATTAAGTTAATAACTTCATATTGGTACTGCATTAAATTATAGTGCCTATAGCATCATGAATGAAGACAATGAGGTTCTTTACAATTTATTCAAAGGCAGGAGCTGGGGAACATCAAATACAGCCAGTAGAATCCGTGTTCCTAAGAAGATACCACTGCTCACAGCATGTAGTTAAGCCTTGAAACTTCTCAAGGAACTTGGTTTAATTATAGGAAATGATGGTTGTGGCTGACATGGTTGCTATAGATACGTAGGTTGCTCCGAAAGTAATGCTCTCATTTATTTCTGTGGAAACTACAGCAGAAAAAAAAGCACAATAACACTATTTGATAGAGCAAATTCTCAGCTCCAAACACGATTTTTCAGCGTAGTCTCCTGGTCTCATATTAGTATTGTTTCAAACCTATGAAACACTACAGATGTCTCAGATACTCCAGGAAACATCAGAGAGCTCTAAATACCTTTGTGCATGATTGATTTAAGCCCGAGGTATCAATTTTTACTACGGTGTGTAATTGTTCAAAGAAGTTACTAGGAGTTATTGTGGATTCTCCACTGCTTAAAATCAAGGTGGGACCTTTTTTTCTAATACTTACTTGAAAGAAGACTGTTTCTAACAGAAACCTGGGCCTGGGTTTTCCTTCATGCATGTAGCTATACACAGTGATCTCCCATTTTCCCACTGCCAGTTGTATCTTGAGCACTGCACTATGCACAGTCACTTTGCTATTTCCAGCCCCAGATTCAGAACTTTCCTCAGTTGGATTGCTCTCTTTGTACTGTGCTTATTTCTGCTCAGTGCAGACAAGTTAGCAAAAAAATTTCAGTCCAGGTTTTAGTGCCCATCCAAGCAGGCGATTTTGGTAGGTGGAGACTCAAGGCAGCCATTCCATATAGGAAAACTTTGGCTTAAGGCAATGATGCAAAACACAAGAGAGGCACTAGGAGGAATCACAGTAGTCAAAATCAAACAATCCCAGTCAGTTTAAAGTTTGTTACCTTTCAGAAACTGGCCGTTTGGTTTCACCAGGATATAGCACTGTGGAACAGGTGCTGTAGTACTCAAAGACATATGGGCTCCTTTAACACATACCAAGGAAGAATTTCCTTGATTTCTTCAAATAATTTCAGGTAATTTTCCAGCTGTTGAGGCATACCTCAGAGTGAACCATTCATGTACACAGTGACTGTGGTATGTGACTGATTGGCGCATGCCAAAGATTGGCAATGAAAGTACTAACCAAGAGCAAGTAAGAGAAAGCCTGTATGCATTCATGAGGCTCTACAGACTCTACATATGCAAAAATGGGTGTAAGTGCAAACTAAACAGGAAGCAGAGCTGGAAAGCTTTGACTGGAATTTAGGGGGCCAAAACTGGCAAGTAAAGAAAGTACTGTATATCCCCTGGAGCAGTGGTCTTCTGCAGTCATAACCTCATCCTCTGTCTCAGCAATATCTCTGACGTGGCTTGGTTAGAAATGTGAACTTGGAAGTCTGGTCAGCTCATGGCTGGTGAAATCAGCTGTGACATGGATGAGACGGAAAGACCAAAGGTACAAAGGCGTAAGGAAGATACATTCAGCCTAGAGCTCAACTCAGAAATTGCCACTGAGAACCACCTACAGAAGATCCATCAAGCGTTGATGTTGATCACCTTAACACCCAGATGGTAGGCAGCCACTGGGCTTGTGTGTAGGAGGACAGTCTCCATGTGGCCATTGATAAGCACAGGGGATAGGTAAAAAGGCGTATCTTCAGCATGCATACCCAGAGCTGAGCCAAGGTTGAAAAGAAAGGGCAGTCAAGGGGAATGAGTTTTAAAAAGGAAATAGCACTGAAATATTCTTGTGAAAGTCCAAATCAAGATGTCCTTTTAGAACAAATGCTAAGAAAGAGGAACTCCAGAGCATTAAGGCCAGCCTCCCTTCTTTCATAGAAGGTCAGCCTGAGGAGATGGGTGAAATATCACCAGACTCTACACAGATGACTGATCAAGAGATGGAGAGATTTGCGGTGTTTGGGAGATTATAATGCTTCAGGAGCTGTATGACAAAAAGAATCTTGCTGGCAGAAGTTGCAAAGAAGGGTCAGGAAGCTGAAGAAGTCTGAGGGGCTGAGAGTAGATTGGTGGAGCTGTAGCATGGATCATTGACCTAGTAAAGCAATTGTATGTTATTAAGAAAGAAGAGATCTCACAGACAGGGAAAAGTGGATCCTAGGAAGCAAAAACCCATTATGACGGCCTTCGAAATTCTGTGCATTTGAGCATTCTGAGCGAATTCCTCAATGTGTTCCTTGTTGGAGTATTCAGAAGGTATATTCAGTCTCCACAAAGCAAGAGGGACAGTAGAGCAGAAGCAGTGCAAGAGGCTGATCGCTGACAAGTTCAGAGATAGCAAGAAGAAGAACTTCAGTTGCATAATTTCAAAAAGTCATTTGACTTAATGTGTTGCAATAGCTATGTGGCGTGCCCTAGGGCTATATGATATGTGTAAGGAGCTGCTGAAAAACATTATGAAGAGGTGAGGTCAGCAGTCCTGGTCAAGAGCAAGCTGAACAACTGGTTCATCACAATGACTGGTAACAGACAGGGTGACCTGATAGTTCACAGCGACTTCTGGAGCTGCCTGTAGAAAGTGAAGGATGGAGTTATAGTCACCAAATATTTGGTGCAAAGTCAGACAAGGAGATCAAGAGCCTCAGGATAATCATGTCTTTTGGTGGTGCCAGTTCATCAGATGTGCCAAGTCAGGTTGCTGTGTCCCACGGTAAGTGATGCAGATTAAAAATTGATGTAGGCCAGACAACAACCAGGAGGAAAGGCAGAACGGATGAGAACTACACGAGCAGGTAGCAACAGGGCAGACAAGATGGACAATCCTATTTATCTGAGAAATTTCATCACACAGAACAGCAATGAATATCTCTACGGTGATCTGAAGGGGGGTGCAGCTGATGCCAGTGGATGTAGACCACCTGAAACAGTCACGAAGAGACCAAGAAAAATGGATGCAAAAATCAAGCTAATCAGCAGTCCCTGTTCTTACTCTGTGTGAAGAGAAATGGATTTTCAGGAAGTCAAATCACAAAAAAACCCAGTTGGTATTTGCAACAAATTATTAGACTGTCAAACCATGTCAGAAATAAAACAGTGTGCGATAGAACTTAAAGTAAGTCAGTGAGGTGCGCAAATTCCTGTGATCTGGCTGCTGGATGGCTGGATGATCACTTCTGAGGTACCCTGCTATGGTAAAGGGAAAAGAACTAAGATGGTGGTGGTAGGAACACAAGTATCACTTTTCATTTTGATTTTTTTTTTTTCTTTAAAATTTTGTCAACAGAAAAGCAGGCCTTTGGATACTGAACTTATACCTACCTTTGTAAGATGATGCTTCTTAACCATAGTTCATAGACACTTTGGGTCTGTGGTATGTGGACCTGAGAAGGAGAATAGATGACATAAGGAAATGAGTCTGTATTTGCTGAACACAGTGGTGTGCTTATATGGCCACTAGTCAATGGGACAAAAAAAAAAAGGGAAAATGTCTCTGAAAATGCAAGTGACATAGACAAGGTAACTGAGAAGGAAATATAAGTCTTTTACATGCAGCAGTTTCAGGTTCATCCTTGGGCAATAAAGCCACCTGGAGTTTCCAAACACTGGACCTGGACCTATCTTTGTCTGTGACACCAGGTCGCTCTGATGGACCAGATGGAGGGAGTTCTGCCAGACAGCAATCAACACCAAGCAAAGAAGAGGCAAAACCACATTTCCACATTCTCCTCTTGATGAATCTGGGTAAGTAAGTCTTTTTGCAAGTCTCTGCTAAACAGAAAATTCATGTTACATAGTCCCGAATTTTTGGATGGGAAACCTAAAAAAAGTAATCGAATGTGCAGCATAGAGAGAAGCAGATGATTTAATCTGGGTTGCAGGAAGGGTGAACATGATAGAGGTGATTGAGCAGCATCAAAGGATGACAATCAATTTGAATTTCCCTAGAAGTGATGTTGATGCCTGTGTTGCTTCTCCCTGTGCTTTCTCTTTAATTAAATACCGAATGTTCCGTTAGTAGTTGGAATAACACGATGTTCCTGGGGAAAAGAAAACCCGAGTAATCCCTTTATCTGCTAAAATAGATGATTTCTAGTAGATTAAACAGTGGCCTTTCAGCTACCAGAGCAGAGTTCAGGCCATAATTGAAGTCCTCTCCTTGGCCTCTCCTCGGTCCCTCGCAGCCAGCAGTCCGTAGAGCCCCATCATCAGAGATAACCTCAGTGACTCTTGTCTGCAGTGAGTGTTTCTCCAGATGAGGAGATTAGCTTGAGATAAAGCATATTACCTGAAAATAATAAGTGATTACGGTCCCGGACTGTCTCTCCACATTCATTTCATGCTGGTTAACCCTTGCAAAACTGGCTGTTGGCAGGGTTTTAGGTCTTTAAAGAAGGAGGGGGAGGTGAGGGAGGGTTTCCCATGTCTGAGCAGAGAAAAAGGAGATTTTTTTTCCCTTTCACTCTCTCTTTTTTTTTTTTTTTTTCTTTTGCCTTGTATGGATGTTCCTGGGCATTGCAACAAGCACTCAGCTCTGGTGTTGCTTCAGTCCGTGGTGCACAGAGTGGCCAGGGCTGTGCCTTGGAAAAGACAAATGTGCAGTGCCATCACCCTTATTCTGGGGTTAGCAGTGCTCTCCCATTCCCTGGCACAGCACACAGGCTACAAGCTTTGCAGTGGGCAGTTTTCATGGGACCAGTTTTCTGGGATGTGAGCTCAAGGATGAAGAACAGCCCTCTACCTTTTTCTACCATAGATGTACCTGTTGAGATAGGACAAAAGGAAGTGATTTCAGACTAAAGGAGAGGAGATTTAGACTGGATGTGAGAAAAAAAGGTTTTTTTATGATAAGGGTAGTGAAACATTGGCACAGGTTGCCAGAGAGGTAGTGGGTGCCCATCCCTGGAGACAATCAAGGTCAGGCTGGACGGGGCTCTGAGCACCTGCTGGAGCTGTAGGTATCCCTGCTCATTGCAGGGGAGTTCGACCAGGTGACCTCTAAAGGTTTCTTCCAAATCTATGATTCTGTGATTGTGACTTGACAACACAACATTCATTGCTTCTGTTCCCATCAATAGGAAATCCAGAGAAATGCCAAAGAAGCTCGCAGGGGATGATGGCAAATTGTCTGTTTATCCATGAGGAAACACGTGAGTGTGTCATGGGTTTCTAGAAATTCATGTTGTTTGCCAAGAGAGGATGGAGAGAAGAAATGTAAAAGAAAAAATTCAGACTGAAGAAATGCCTTGAAATCTGCTTATGGGGTGTTGGTTTTGTCACTCCTGGGCGTATGCTCCTATGCTGCAGAAACTAAATGTCCTGATGGGAAAACCTTTCGGCCCCGTTCAAGCGGCTGGGAATTTTGTTAATCACTCAGTAGTGGCACTGCCTGCATTTCATTCCCAGGAGGCACCTTCCCAGCTCTCATGCCATTACAGCATCCTCTGTCTGTCATCGCGCTGGTCCCTGGGAGCGAGGGACGAGCAACTTCATCCTTCTTCCTCTAAACGCTTCATCAGCCGCTCCCCTGAAAACTGTAAATAAAGGCCGCTGGGGATAGCTTTTCTGCTTGACCCCTCACCTGAAATGAAAATAGAGGTGGCTGGATTTCATCCTGGTGTGGAGCTCCTTCCCGGGCCGGCTCTTTCCCGTCACTGTTGACAGTTACCTGCCAAGCCCCACAGTTACCTTTGATTTTGCCGTAATGACATCTCAGTACTTAGGATGGCTCTGGGCTCATAATCCTCTCTGCAGCCTTAACCAATTTATGAGTAACCTGAGAGCAGGCTCTCACTTCCTCGTGATTTTGCCTCTTGTTAAATACACTAAAGGTATCAACAAACTGAGCTCGCTGCAGTAATGTGGCTATTGAATGCCCAGAGTGTGCAATTATTTGAATGCACACCTGCTATAAATCTCTGCTTTTAGAGGGTAGCTGCATGTGCTTGCCACATTAAAACTGCATTATGTTTTCTTTTCCCAGTGTGTGCTGCTGAAACAAGTGCTTGTTAGCAATAAGCAGGCAGTGCTCCAAAGAGATGCTAAGAGCAGGAGGGAACATTGAGCAAAGCGGGATTTATCCATAGATTTGCTCTGTCTGTGAGTGCTTTGTCTTTAAAATCCTTCAAGACAAAGTCCTTTATCTGTCTGGTGTGTTTGGAGGGTAAGCACTTCAGGGTTTTCTGTTAGCCTAACAGCTTCTATAATAACTCTGTCTGATCTCTAGAGGACCTACCTGTGCATGCACAGTGCACTTATAAAAGAGCTTCATGGCTGTGAGCAGTCTTGGAATTAGAGGAGGACACAAGCCATGACTCCCCATATGCATGAATTGGCTCCTCTAAAGGAAATTTCTGGGCAGATGATTTACACAGGGGCGGAAGTAGGAGGGGGATCCCTGAGGAAAGCAAACACTTGAGACTTCAAGGTGAGGTGAGTTTGGTGGCACGCTTCTCTAATGTCCATCTGATCCAGGAGGTGCCCACTTCCTAAGCACAGATCAAAGACAAAAGGTGACTTCTGAAATGACATGCAGCCACCTCTCGCATTGCTTAAATTCTCTCCCTCTGCTAACGTTTGATCTCATTTTACTTCTCCTGTCAGTGGAAGCAGGTGGTTGCTTTATTCTCCCTGACAAGTTTGGGTCAGCTAATGGATGCAGTGGGAAAGAGACCTGGATGTGGAATCAATCCAGACCTTGGTTCAGTCAGTGCAGAGGCTCCTCTTTACTGCACTTGCTTTTGGGTGAGCTCTCGATTTTGACTGGTTGTGATCCTGCCAAACCTTTAAGGTGTGATTGTGTATCAACGTGGGACTCACAAAAGCCCGGACAGCTACAATCTAGCTGATAGAAAGAGAGGGAATATCTTCAGGTTGCACCAAGGGAGGCTGAGGTTGGATATCAGTAAAAACTTCTTCTCCAAAAGAGGGGTAATGCATTGGAACAGGCTGCCCAGGGAGGTGGTGGAATCAACATCCCTGTAGGTTTTCAAGAAGCATGGAGATATAGTACTTAAAGACATGGTTTAGTGGGCAGTATTGGAGGTAGGTGGACAGTTGGACTAGATGATGATAGGGGACTTTTCCAATCTCAATGATTCTATGATTCTATGAAGCTCCTTGACATGGAGACATATGTGCTGTGCACAGCCCCCTTGAATTGACTGATGCAAAGGGCTCATGTTTGCTTTTCTATGCTCTCAGCTCTCCATGGTGGCTCTACTGATTGCTGGTGAAAACACCAGACTCTTGATCAGCAGATCTGTGGCACATGTGATTGCAGGTGGTGGGCACAAGCCAAGCCAATATTGTTGAGTTAGATCAGGAGCCTCTCTGAGACTTGGCTTGTTTGCAAAGCTCTGCTCTGATTTGGCCTGCTATTCTGTAACATACGAGGCTGTTCTGCCCTGCTCCTTTAGCCTAACTCCAATTTTAACCTTCTCCTTCCAAGGAGAAAGGGTAGCAGAATTTACTAACAGGCAAGCTCTTAACAAAGCCTTGGATATCTGATACATATAATGGTCCCAGAGGCATGTTTACTTTGGACTGAGTGAGTGAGTGAAAACCATTCTGGAAGGGCTTTTTCACCCCCAGTGACTTAAACCTAACGAGGAGAAAAGTGATGTGGTTAAAGGGCTATTTAAACAGCAGCATTAGTGAGCAGAGTTAGGTTCTCCAACAATACATGTATGTATTTACCTCCCACAGGTGCATAAATATGCATTGATTTGTATCGTGGCACACAGAATACTCACACATAGGCAGTGATGAGATTTTAGCAGTCCTCTGCTGATGGATGCTTGTTGGGGGAAAGAGTGTGAGCAAACAGTGGATTGTTTTTAGGAAGCTACAGCAGAAGTGCCTGAAGACTTGGGACATGACCACTGAGTTCAGCAGCTGCAAGGAGACTTTCAGGGTTGTGATTTAGGTGGCTGGAAGAAAGCTGCTCCAGGTGCCCAAGTGTGGCTGCAGGTGGAAGGGCACTGATTGCTTCACTTGGTGCCATAAATGCCTGCACCAAAATATGCAGAAAATTGGAGAAAAGCATGAAATAAACTCTATGGGGAACCCTGTCATGCTGGACGTGCTGCACTGTGACAAGAGTTCATGTTTTTAGACCCAAATGGATGACTGACCTCGTGCTGACAGAATGGGCTGTCAGCACTCGTCCCTTGAAGAAGAGTCTCCCCTTTGCACTTTATCTCCTGGTGGTGATAACGGGAAGGGAGATGTGCAGATTACACCCTGCCTCTTTCACACGATGGGGGTCCTGCTTGCCGAGCACTTCCCTCTTTCAACAACCTCACAGGGGCAATGGATCTTATTCCCAGCCCAAAGAGCACCTGTCAAGAGCTGGGCTGACAGGAGGTATGTCCTCCTTGGCCATGTTTTCTTGCAGTTAATTCATAATAACTGAGATGATTGACCCAAACCTTGCCAGCACCTCGCACAAGAGCCTTGCAGGCTTAGATAGCAGTGTTGCCATCTCAGGAGTGGAAAAAGACAGCAGGTAGAGGAAGATAGGGCCAAAGTGAAGTGAAATCTCTCTTTGTGCTACCAGAGTCTCACTGAGGCTATGAGACTGACTTTGTAAAGGTATATAGCTACCACTGAGCACAGGAAAATGTCCAGCAGTGTGCCAAGAAGGAGCTGTACTGATCAGGTACACAAATCTCATTGCTTTATTTTATCACTGAGGTCACTGACTGTAATTTAAACTCGTCAGGGCCTGAACTCTGCTGTCACACACTTGGTCTCTGGAAAACTCACTCCAGATGCTGTTAAAACATACCATTTGCCTTTGACAATCTGGTCCCAGCTGGCACATTGGCCTTGCTGTGGTTTCATTATGCCCACTCACAAAGCATGATGTGAAGGGGTCAAAAGCACCAACATCCTCTGGAAACTTTTCTGGTTGTTTGAGGTGATCAATGCCTGAAGAAACAGGGGCACTTCCATTCAGGTGCCTGATTTATGCCCCTGGCCCTGGAAATCTCACCTCTCTGGAGTATTGCCAATTATCTTATTAGATAAGATTTCTTCTGCAGGTGTTTATAAAGCAACGCTGATCATCAGTATTAGCTTCTTCCTTTGTGATGGGCAGCCTGCTATAGAACCAGCATGTTGGGTACAGTCATGTGGGGTAAAATGAAGCCTTCTCAATGGACTTCTCCAAGAGTAGAGGTGCTTTCAAAAACATATGGAAAGTGTTCAGCTGGGAAAAGATGGGGAGGAAAATACACAGCAAGAGCTGCCTGGCCAAACAGCTGCCAGCCAAGCAACCCATTCACAGAATCATAAAATCATAGAATCATTAAGGTTAGAAAAGACCTCCAAGATCATCTAGCCCAATCACCAGCCCAACCTACCGTGCCCTCTAATCATGTCCCTCAGTGCCACATCTTCACAGTTCCTGAACACCTCTAGGAATGGTGACTCCACCACCTCCCTGGCAGCCTGTGCCAATGCATTAGCACTCTTTCTGACCCCTTCTTGTGCGCTGAGCAGTGTGCGTGGGGATGCCAGGGAGGGATGTGATGTGTGAGCATCCTTCTGCCAGTTCCTTTGTAACGAGAGTCGTGGGGAATATTTCAGGGAGTTGGTATCATGGGAGAGGTAATGGCATTACAGTGCATAGGTGCCTGTAAGGAAGTTACGAAAGAAGTCACTAAGTGCATAAAAACACTAAAAAAAAGAAAGGCATGTGGTTTGTTGACTTTTTCTTCGTATCTGAATTAGCAATGGAGAGGCACATATGCTCACTCAGAGCAGGGGAAGATGAGAGCTGGGTATTAGGTTCCCACCCACTTCTAATTGGGATCCTGTTGGTAATTATCAGCTCCACCATTTGGTATCAGGGAAGAATAAATGGGAAGCAATAGTGGGCTGCTCCTGCATGACCTATGCTGGCAACGTGCCTTTTAATTTCATGTGAACTGCGCCTGCGAGAAGACGGAAGGATCAAGCCATCATCAAGGAAGATTAGAATTTGGAGCCAGGTTTTGGAAATTGTTTCCTATCTCAGTAATGAATCAGACACCTTAGGTAAAATTCAGATCCTACTGAATAAGCATTTTGGTTTTTTTTAAGTTTAGCATGGCCAGGATTTCACTAATGACACCAAATGTAGCCAAGCACTGGTGTGCCTGCAGCTTGGAGCTAGCACCAGTATTATACCCTAGAACTGTATCTCATTTGTATTAGTCTCTGGATCTGATTCTGTTCTCTCTGTATGGGATTTTGTCTGCTGAGTTAAAGGTGATGGGACAGTCCCTCCTGTGCTGTGGTGCTGTGCAGGATGCTGAGATGGTAAGAGTGAGTTTCCTCAACGTATGTAAGTCTTGATTATTTTAGAGTGCAGATTGGTTTCATTTACATCAGGAAAAGGATTCTTTCTCCCTTCTCTGGAAGGAAGACACTCTTGAGAGCTTACTGATATTTTTGTGTTTGACTTTAAGGCAGAAGTTTGTTCCTAATTAATTGAATAAGTGCTTTAATCCCTGGCCTGAGGGCTTCCCATAGAGCATTAGCTGTATTAAGAAGGAAATGGAGTGTAATCCCTTTAATATAAGCACAGGAGAACACGAGAGTTTCACATTTCTAGAAATAATTTCTTTCCTTGTTTTTCTTGTTTATCCTGATATTCATTTGCATAAAATACAGCAGGGATGAAGGGCTTCTCCTTCTGCCTGGCTCCCGTGCTGAGGTGCCAGCAACACGTGGCTCTGGCATTGGCATCCTTGGGCTCCGGTTATGCACTGATGCATAACGGGGTGAAAAGAGAAACAGCTCTGGAATTCAGCTCATTCCAATGGTGCCTGTGAAACCAGCTCCGTGACTGCTTTGCTCTGTATCCAGTGTGCTACCCAGTGTGCTACGAGTGCAGAGCAAAAAGGGATTTTCTGTCCCAGTGTGGGGAATCAGAAACTCTTCAGAAATCAGTTCCCATAGGCCAGGGCCCTCTCCACATCCTTCCGAAGAAACTGCTTTTCACTGCTTTTCAGTAAAGTCAGACCAGGATCCTGGAGCCGAGATGTCGTCTTTCTGACTCATGCATCATCACTGGCATTTACCACTATCTGCATTAACTGCAGTGCAGGAGAATCTCCTTTCTGCTCTGATATCCAGGCTCAAATGTGGCTACAGAAATTGGACTCTTGGATGAGATTCAGCTGACCAAACCTATGCTTTCCGAGAAAGCAGTTTATTTCTTCCCAAAATACGTGTCTCCACTGGTCACATGAATCAGGCTAAATGAGCCAGAAGGCCAGGAAGGTTCAGCTCAGAGGGAGACATCCTCTTTGTAGACATCTAAAATGAGTTGAAATTAGTCTTGGATGAGATGGATCCAAAGGTAGTTAATGCTTGATGTTTATGAAAGAGTAATTACTGCTTTGTGGGTATGGGACAGAAGACTGCCCCCCCTCAAGGGCTCAGAAAGGGGCTTTGCCCCTCTCCCGTGTTCCCAGCTGAAGGAGCAGGTAGCAGCTCCCCGTGTTTGCCTTGAGGTGGCTTCTCCCCAAGAAGCCCTCATCCCACACATCATGGTGTAAGGTCCCCTCCCACCAAGGCCTCCAGTGTTCTAGATTGCAGGTGTCTCACAAGGGACAGGAGGTTTCCCTTCTCCATGGAAACCCTGCTGCCACCAAACATATCCCACCGTGCACATATCAAGGCGCTTCTCCTGTCCTGGGAAGGGACACGGAGGTTCACCTCTCTGCCTTTTGGCAGCTGGTGGTGAGGTGCTGTCATCTCATCTCTGCTGGATCCTGCCAAGCTTCATCTCCTGAGCTGTCTGGCTCCATAGGTGCTCGTTGCTGGATGTGCACACTTTGCATCACTGAGATTGGATGATGTCAGTCATACTCCAAACACCGGTTTGGGGTACGCAAGGGTCCTACAGCCACATCTGAATCCCCTTTTTCCTTCCAGGACTCACACCAAGTCTCTAGATCCCTTGCCCCTTGGGGCAGTGGGGAAGAGTAGATCTGGTATGCCAGCTGTTGACGGAATGACTTCTTCTGGTCCAGGTTCCTGGTTCACCACAGAGGATCCAATGAGGAAACCAGTGCATTCGAAGGTGAAAAACAAAAGGGGTTCCCTCCCTCCCTGGAGTTTGAGTAATGGAATTGCAGTCTGCCAGGTTGGGAAGATAAGAGGAGCCGGTGACAACAGGCTTCTGGGTCCTGGCCAAAGGCAGCCACTCGTCTGGGAAGCCCGGAGGGAGAAATGAGTGAAATGCTGGAATAGAGTAATGAGGATATAGAATATGTTCTTGCACATAATGAATGACACTGCTGGCAAGGCACAAGGAACCTTCTTAAGATGCTGTGTGCTGGCGCAGTTATTGGTTCCTTTTATCTCAGTAGGTGCTTTAAGTATTTCAACTTTGTCCAAAGCACCAAAGTGAGCCTGAAGGCTCATCTCACCCGCTTTCCTGTCTCCAGCAGTGAGCTGTGGCAGATGCCAAGGGGAGAGCACGGGAAACAGGATGAGCACATAGTGCTTCCTCCCTAAAGTCCTCTGCATGTCCCTAGAAGTTTACACTGCATTTGTTTTTGGTCTCCAGGCTGGTGTTGCAGCCTTAATATCCCTTGGTGGAATTTTCCTCCATAATTTCTCCGGTTGCTTTACAAAATATATATTGACATTTGCCAGTGCTTGACTTTAAAGATGTGAGTAGCACACAAGAAGTACTGAAATGTGAGATGGAAGCTTAACCTCTGTGACACTGGACCTCAGCAGTGATGAAAGTATATTAGCAGCTTTATGCTTGTGCATTGAGTATCTCTCTACTTGTGCCCTGAGCAGTCCAGGGAGGCTTGAGAAAGGCACTATGGTGGTCTTCCTGGGACTAGAAGAACCTGAAAGGTTCTTGCCAAAAGATCTTGGACCTTCCTGGTCACCCTTCTTGAGGTTTAACTAAGCGAGGGCTGCCCCTGTTGGACTGATCCCAAGAGACACAGATTGCATTCAGAAGAGCAGTTTGTCCTCCTCTAAGCATAAGGAGGCAGGAGAGGTTCAGGTTGGATATAAGGAAAAATATCTTCTCTGAAGAAGTAATGCGTTGGCACAGCTGCCAGGGAGGTGGTGAAGTCACCATCCCTGGAGGTGTTCAAGAATTGCAGAGATGTGGCAGTGAGGGACGTGGGTTAGTGGGCATGGTGGGGCTAGTGGTTGGGCTAGATGATCTTGGAGGTCTTTACCAATTTCATTGATTCTATGATTCTGTGTTTCTGTCACCACCTCTAGGTGACAGAAGGTGGCCAAGCCCTAGCAGTACCCTTTTGTTTGCTTCCTCTCCTTTCAGCCGCCTGTGTCACTGGGTATGTACAGGAGCATGTACAAGAAGGAGTACAAATGGCATGAGGAAAACAAACCACCCACTGAGGAGGACGTGAAGGTACTGTGGGCACTTCCTTGCTTTTCTCCATGCCCTTTGGTGCCAGCTCCCAGCTCTTGGCTATGGGACAGCCAGGGACTGGGTGGGCCTGAGATTGGGTGCGTGCAGATGTGTGAATCCCTTTGGTTCACTTTTGTCCCTACTGCTATGACCCACCAGCAGTTCCATCGTCCCCAAATACCCAAGGCCTCTGTCCCCATCCCTTCTGTGGGAAATCCCCCTTGTGCCCTCCAGTGAACGCATTTGGGCGGGCTGTGCTAATTACACTCATTAAGCCAGGGCATTAACGGCTGCATGCTGAACCGCTCCTAAGCCTTGGACTCCTATTGCTCCTTGTGGGGCCGATGGAGTGATCAGGATCAGATCCATCCCAGTGCCGCCTTTAGGAGGGGGATTGCATTAGGGATGGAGATGTCTCCGTGCCCCGACACGGGCCTGCGAAGGCTTCTGCGGGGAAGCTTACGTTGTTTTCTTTCTAATCCCCTGGCGGTGCGAGTGACCCCCTGAGCTATTTAATCTGATTTGCCGCGCTCCGCCTGCCCTGCCCTAATTGCTTGTGGCAGCCCGGTGGGGACAGCTGTGGTTTGCACCAGGCCACTGCCGAGAAGTGGTGGGGGGCATGTTCGCTTGCTAAAGCACTTTGGGCTCATTCGCTCACGAGAGAGAGGGAAAAAAAAGCATTTGGGCTGGGGAGGGAGAGTGGGCAACAACAGAGGAATCATTGTGTGAAGGTGCCCGCTGGGGCTGTCTGTGCAGGAGGGTGGTGGTGGCTCTCATCCTGCACGTCAGGCTCTGGCCGCACTGCCGTCCTTGGCCCTCTCCTCTCCTCCCCTGTTTCCCGGCTGCCAGCTCCCCTCCTCCTGCCCTTGGGAGCACTCCTGCTGCCAGCAGCCTTCATTAGTGGGGCTCTGCTGGGCTGGCGAGTGCTTCCCGGAAAGCCCAAGCCTCAGGTGGCCTCCAGGAGGGCAGGGTTAACCCCTGCCTGCTGCGGCATGGCGAGAAGCGGTCGTGGTGCCCAATCCACGCACCTCAACTTCTTTTCTTTATTATTACTATTTTTCTTGATAACTTTGGAAGGTGTTATGTGGAAGTCCTCGTGGAGTTGGAAGGAGGAAACAACTGAGATGTGACTGCTTTCATTGGGTTGCATCTCCCATTGACTCTTCATTGACCCTCTATTAACTTGCAAGGAAAGCTGTTCCACTGGACCAAGCGCCGATGAGGTCCTTGGGAAGCCCAAGTTTTGCTTTTGCTTTTGTTAAGTGGATAAAACCACCTGGAGGATTTTCTGTGTGAAGTGTGGGGTGATGTCCTGCTGGAAACTGAAGACATCCTTGGGTTAAGACAGAAAGCACCATCTGCTCTGTCACCCCCACCATAGGTCTCCAGAGGCTCTTGTCCCTCCAGCGATGCCTCATGAGGAGCTCTTGCCATCCTTGTGGGAGGAAACTCCCAAATACAGGTGGTCCCCATACATCAGCAGCCTCCTTGCTCTGATCTAGGCATGGTGAGGAAGTCACCTTGGACTGAGTGACGGCAGGATTTATGAGGCCAAAGGACAAAGGGAAACTTGTGGAGGTCCAAAGCAAGAAGTCACAGATAGCTGATAGACAAAACATGGTCCTGGCAGAGCAGAAGTTTCTTTGGCTGAGCCTTTAGCAAGGATCAGTTGGCTCCACACAGAGCTGTAGCATGCAGCTGGAAAGATGCTGAAGCTGGCAGATTCCCTGAGCAGCTGTGCCAGCTGCCACCTCAGCCTTCCCCTGCCATGAATCCTTGTATGGATCTGTCCCTTCTGCTGGAAAGATCAGCAGCCTTCCTTCCCTGCTTCATGGGTTGTGTTATCATTGCTAATGGTTGAGGAGCTGGCACCCTGCAGTCAGGTCATTGCCTCTTCCATCCTCTTGCTCTGCTCATTGCCTAGGGATGTGCTCATCCACCATGGAAAGATGAGGAAAGATGGAAAGACAAAGGAAGATGGAAAAAAAAGTGGGCAAGAGTGACCAGCCAGAAAATCCCAACATGAAATCAGCTGTGGATTGAGGCCACAACCCGAGAGATCTGGGCTTTGTGCTGTCCTGTTGCAGGTGGTCTCAGTGCCCAGCAAGCCATAAGAAGACAGAAAGAAGATGACATGAAGACCATCTAAGGGCTGGAGCACCTCTCCTATGAAGAAAGATTGAGAGAGTTGAGCTTGTTCAGCCTGGAGAAGGCTTCAGCGGGACCTCCCTATACTTGTAGGGAGCTTATAAGCAGGAGGGGAGCGACTATTTATATGATCTAATAGTGACAGGACAAAGGGGAATGGCTTTAAACAAAAAGAGGGGAAATTTAGGTTAGATGTTAGGAAGGAATTCTTTACTCAGAGGGTGGTGAGGGTCTGGCACAGGCTGCCCAGAGGAGCTGTCCTTGGAGGCATTCAGTACCAGGTTGGATGGGGCCCTGGGCAGCCTGATCTGGGGGGTGGTAACCAGCCTACAGCAGGGGGGTTGGAAGCAGATGATCTTTAAGGTCCCTTCCAACTTAAGCCATTGTATAATTCTAAGAAAGAGGCAGCCTTAATATTCTGTGCATTATTTAATGATACTTGTGTGGCTTCTTTGTGGCTGCGGTGTCCCTGTGGGCAGGTAGCAGTGTTTAGTGATGCTTCAGTAATTGTCCTCCTCACCACGTCTCCACTCACACATGACTTCTTTCTGCAGAAGCTCAGAGCCAAGGAGTTTGCCGTGCCCCAAGAGCCACAGGCAATGCCATACTATGACAAAGCTCTCGGGGAAGGGAGAGATGTCACACAAAGTGAGAAGGAAGAAGGCACTGACCTCAGTCCCAGTGTGCTGCAGCAGGCTCATGAAGAGCAAAGAAAGCACTTCAGTTCAGACCTCCCCCTTGCAGAAAGCTGTGCACCAAAGCAGTACCTCACCACTGAACTGGCAGCAACCCAGGTGGACAGACCAGAGAGGCCACAGGCTCTCAGTGGGCAGGAAAACGAACTGTCTTCTTCCCAGCACCTTCAAGCTGCTGCTGGTGGCCCAGGAGCAACAGGTAATCCCACTCAGCTGGCACCAGGCAGATCCAGCATCTGAGAGCTGTCTGCTGGGCTGTGCTATCCCAAGTCCCCCTGCCCCAGGCTGGCTGGGCACCAATGGGCTGCAGGTTGGCTTAGCAGGGTAGCAGGCTCATGACCTGCTTGTGTGGATTAAAATGCTACTACAAATCCTTGCTAGCACATCAGGAAAACAAAATCAGTGCTCACCATCCGTGCTTGATCTTCAAAAAGCACTGGAGAGCTTCCTCTGAGTTCCAAGGTAGAAGGGAGGAGGGCAGCACTGCTCAGCACCAAGCAGGGGGATATGGGCAGGATGTCCTCTCTGAATTCCCATCTTGCACCATAGGATGTCTGTTTGGAGCTCTCAACTCTCCTCATGGTCAATGGGGAGAAAAGCCACAGATGGTTATTGTAGCCTAAATGCTGCCATGAAGATCCTAGAATCATAGAATCTAGAGGGAAGGGACCCTTAAAGGTCATCTGGTTCATCTCCCCTACAAAGAAGAGGGACAAATACAGCTCCAGCAGGTGCTCAGAGCCCCATCCAGCTTGTCTTTGAATATCTGCAAGGACAGAGCATGAAATAGAGTGAATCCTGGCAGGACTTCCCTTTCTCCATGCACTAGAAGGAGAGCTGGGATAAGTAGCTCAGATGGACATGTCTCCATTTGGACAGATAACCATTTAAAGATGTCTCTTAACAACTGAAAGCTTCAAGCATCTCCTTGCTGAGCCCATCTTACACTGTATTGTGCTAGTGACACAACTGCTGTGGGCTTTTTCTTTCTTGCTCTACCCCTCTATAGTCCAGCAGTGCTGTATTTCTTGCAAAGTTTCTCATACAATTACCTGCAAAGGGTCTCAGCTCCTTTTAGCACTCCGGAGTGCCATGGAGACAGCATGGCTCCTTCCACTCACTTCACATCACCGTAAATCTTTCCCCCATTGGCTTTGTGAACCAAATCAATTCCAAATTGATGCAACTCAGCAAAGCTCTGCTGAAGGGGATGAGTCTTCCCTTGATTTATACCAGCTGAGGCTCCAAGTTGCCGTTGTTATTTGCTTGCTCCCACCCGAGGGCAGGATTTGGGTAATTGATAGATTTTCCTATCTAATGCACTGTTGTCTTCTCTCATTTCTCAGGGATGTTGCTGTATAGGCAGAAGCTGGATCCCACCTGGGGTACCTACCAGCACTTCATGCTGGAGACAGGCCAGGCCCTGCGAGATGAGGCTCAGCAAAACAAGAATGTGGCCCTGTCCTCATCGGTTTCGGTGGAAGGTCAGTGGGTGGAGGCTGTGGCAGATGACCTCAGCCTGACCTTGGGCTTCTTGAATTTAATGCAGGAAGTGAATGAAGGAGGTGAAGTAAATACAGTGGGAAATGCCTGCAGGATCCCCACAGCCATCCGCCTGTTGGTGGGAAGAAGTAAGGCAGGGAAAATAATTTTCATCCAGAAAAGGTTGGAGCATCATAAATAACATCTCTTCCATGCCCATTTTCGTATGGGCCGCTCCAGGTGGTGCAGCTGAAGTTGGTGGGTATGCGTGCATTCTCACTGCTTTGCTGTGAGCGCTGACAGAACGTTTTCTGTAGGCAGGTCCATTTGGTCAGAGGGACACACGTGAAGGAGAGCACATGACAGCCCTTCAAGCCAGCTCCTGCAAGGATTTTTGGGAGACAAAAGCAAAGCAGATGTGATGATCCTCACCTGGGGGCTGCCCTCCCTGCATGCATCCCCCCTGGCGTGGGGCTGAGCTGCTGTCCCATCTCCAGATATCGGTGGTTTCTGCACTAAGAGCAGCAGATCTACAGCCTGCAGACAGGGTGCATGTTTTTACCACAAAGTCACTGCAAACTGGTTTTATTTGGGGTCACTCATGCACTTATTTCCATGCACCAAAGACACAAAAGGAAATGAGGAAAGAGCCCTGCATGAACACCAGTTCAGCCACACATCGGTGTCCATGCATCCTCTTATAGTAACGTTGCACAAGATGGGCTGTGGAGTATTTTTTGTGTTTCTGCAAAGGAACTCATCCTTGTTTTACTCCTGATGAAGTAAGGCAAAGATGTGTTGCTCTGGCATGATAAAAGAGGAAAATGTAGACAGCAGGAGAAAATACATTGCAGCAGACCAGTCAATGTCCACAAGGGACAAGACACCTTGTGTGACCTCCATCATACTTAAGAGGCCATAGGAAATGAGTGCTAAAATATCTCCATCCCTACCAAGGAATCACTTGCATTTTCCCTTGGTTAACTCGTGGTTATGGTAGCTCCAATGGGAGTACTAAGAGCACGAAGTGCTGAAGGAGCTCGGAGGAGGGGGAATGGTTGGACTGCAGGATGCAGGGGATAGAGACCCCCCCCAGAATAGAATTATAGAATCGTTTGAGTTGGGAGGGACTTTGAAAGGCCATCAAGTCCAACTCTCCTGCAGTGAACAGGGGCATCTTCAGCCAGATCAGGTGCTCAGATCCCAATCCACTGTGACCTCTTGATTATTTGTACTCTCCTTCACTAGAGTGCTGTGGCCATGACCGCAGAAGTACCTACAGCACCGACTTCCAGCACCAGCCTGCAGCCTGCACTGGAAGCTGTATAGCAAATAAGAATCTATCTCACATTTTCACTGAAGATGAACGCTTCCACCAGTAAGGGAAAGCTGGGCTGAGGGAATGGGTTGGGAGCAGGGACAGAGTCAGACTAGAAAAGCGTGGTTTTGGAGCTGGTTGGGGTTGGAAGGTGTTTCTCAAGTGTATTTCTCCATGTCTACATTATGCAATGTGTTCAAATGAATTCCCTTAGGGCCACGGCCTTTCACAAGGCTCAACCTTTTCTTGAGAAGTTTTATAGTGGGGTTGGTGTGATCTGGGAAGCTTTTCCTGGGGCAACCATTGACAATTCCCCTCAGGAAGTGGGAACTGAGGTCCCTGTGGGATGGGCACAGGAGGGCACATCTCAGCATTTCGGTGCCTGGGCTTCTCCTGGGAAAGGAAGCTCTTGGATCAGACAGGGCAGGAGCTGTTTGTGAGGTGACTCATCTGCACACTATGAACAAACAGGCATAAACTGCTCCTGAGCTCTGATTTCTCACCTGGAAAGGTAATTCCTCCCCGCTGCCTCATCCCCTCACCTCCCCCTAGCATATATATATATTGCAGATGTACACTGAAGTCTTGATTTTGATTTACGATCTCGGATATAGGTGTGGGCTGCAGATGGAGCTGGTGCAATGGTTGACCTAGGTGGGTGACTGGTCCCTGTGACAATACTCACTCCTCATTACCTTCTCCATGTTCTCTGCAGGAACCACTGGGTGTCTGAGTACAAGGACAACTACAGCATTTACTTGCAGAAGCTGAACTGGGCATCTCAAGGCCACGCTGCAGAGCCTGGCTCTGCCTTGAAGCCCCAAGGGCTGCCTTCCCAGAGTGAGGTTTCACCAGACACAGCCCAGTGAGTGCTGCTGCACGGTAAGTGGCAGCATTACCCGTGTCTGTGCTGGGTGACGCTGTGCTGGGGAGTCAGTAGGATTGCAGAGGTTGAGGCAGAGGAATTACAGGGGCACATTCATGAGGTGAAGAGCCAAAGCCTGAGCAGCCTCATTGAGCTGGCCCTGCTTTCAGCAGGCTTGAGCCAGGAGACCTACATTGCATTGATGTTCTGATTGATGAGGATGCATTACCCATGCTGTTTTGTGATTGCAGCTCCCTGTTCTCCAAGCTGAGGGAGATTTTCCACCAGAGATCCTGGAAGCCTGGAAACCTCTATTCCAAACCCACCGTTACCAAACATTTTTAAAGTGTCCAGCAGAAACGTTTTTACACACATATTTCATGAAGAAACCTGAGCTTTCCTCGTTGTCAGAAATAAAAAGGGTTTTTTTGGACAGTGCAGAACTAAAAGCACTCATCAAAGTAAAGTTTATGTACTTATTAAAAAAAAATCTGTGTTCATTTACTGTCTTAAAAGCCTTCTGAATGTTACTGAGAGCAGCCAGCATTGATTTTGCTGTGTGTTTTTGGGGTTTAGGGTGATATCTAGGATTTGTGGAAGGAGCGAGGCTGCTATCAGCCTGAAGGTGGCATTGCAGGGCTGCAGATGCATGGAAGGTTCTGGGAATGACTGGTGGCCCTGATCCCACCCAGCTCTGCTTTGGGATCTTTTGAGTGGGCACCAAAACTGTCCTAGAATAGACAGTGTAGAAACCTTCCTCAGCATCTCAAACATGCTGCTTTTCGTGTTTATTTGGTACTTTATTTTTTGTTTATTTGGGCTTGTTTATGGTACTCAAGGATAAGAAAGATACTTTGGACGGATACAGACAAAATGTGGAAAGATAACGATGACAACCAATAACCTCTTTTACAGTAATATCAAACACACCTACACCAGGAGCAGGTGGTGATGGCATCTACAGACAAAGCAGCACACTGGTCGCTGCCCCAAGGAACTGACTGTCAAAGGAATCAGCTCTTCTGCTTCTTTGCATGCCACTGGCGATTCACTCCATCACCACATCCCAGTGACAATTTTTGCCATTGGGAAAGCCATCTGCTCTCATCAAACAACAAGAAATAATGGCCGTAGGTTATGCCAGGGGAGGTTCAGGTTGGATATTAGGAAAAATTTATTCTCTGAACAAGTGATAATGCATTGGAACAGGCTGCCCATGGAAGTTATGGAATCGCCATCCTTGGGAGTGTCCAAGAACTGTGTCAATGTGGCACCAAGGGACATGGTTAGTGGGCATGGTGGGGATGGGTTGATGGTTGGACTTGATCTTAGAGGTCTTTTCCAATCTAAATGATTGTATGATTCTGCTTAGACATGCAATAGAAGGATTCTCGGGCATGGGATGTCACTGATCCAGTCAGCATGGCATTGGATATCATAGAGATTCCCACTGCAGCTGTGTACAATGGGTAGAATTTGGAAAGCAAAAACAATGAAACGGCCTTTACCTTAAAAATAGGAAAAAAATAATACTTTTTGACAACATAAGTTCCAGAATTTGTTTGTATTCTTGGGGAACGGGACCATGAGAGTAGAAATGTTCTTAGTGGGACATGCACTTTTTATTGGTTAAAACAAATCCAATGATCTCACTGATAAGTTTACCTTATGAAAACTCATTATCCTGACTCCCCATGCTGGAGACAGGCTCCTTAGACATGCTGGCATTGCTCCACAGCAACAGTCTGATAGGCAGACAGGGTCTGCATGGCGATGAATTATGTATGTAAGGTAATTTCAAGTCATCTCCCCTGGGAAAAGAAAAATACACTGCTAATTGCTAATCAACATGGGCAACCATGATGGAAACAAATGTCCAGACTGGACGATGAAGATATCAGAGTACTAACGAAGATGTTCAGTCAGGCAAACTGATGGGGTCCTTAACTGTGTGCTTATCTGCAATGAATGGTAAACCAGCAGGGGCACCTTGGAAGGTCCTCAGCTTCACATCGGCTCCACTAATGTGTGGCACTTTCAGTCCATGGGTTATTCCTTCTCTCCTGGCAGCTGGGGAACTAAGGCAGATCAAATCACACCTCAGGTGAAAAACACAGAGCCACTGCTCTGGCCACAGAGCATTCTGCTATTTGTTTTCCCAGAATCACATTTGTTTTCTTTCCTATGTTAGTTTTTCCATCCCAAGAGACCTTGCTTTCTATGGAGGGGCCTTGCACTAGCAACGAAGTCCAAAGGAAAGACAAATCAAAATCAACCAACCAAAACCAACAACAACAACAAACAGAAACAGCAGAGGGAAATAAGTGAGAGATGAGTCAGACTGTGGCTGGTGAAGATCAGGATGCATTTTCAAGAAGCGTGTCACCCCAGTACTGCTGGTTGATACTATTGATACTAGGAATATTCCTCCAAAGCATTTGGTGCTGGCCTGTGTCTGAAACCAGGGAAAGCTCCCAGATGGAGGCTGGCTTGATCCCGTTCTCTGGAATGTAGCAGTGAATGTAGTTTGGAGTTTTCTCCTCAGTTCATGCATCACTTCAAGGAAAATAAGTTCTCAGTAGGGCTGAAGTGAAGGATGTTCTGTGAGTGCCTTGGTGCCATCTCCTGGGTGGAAGGGGAAATTCTCCTTTTAGGGGTGAATGTGTGTCCTGACACCCACTTGGTCCTGGCTGTGCGGGCTGTCTCCTGTTAATGGGGTGTGTGAGTGTGGCACTGGGGTATCAAATTGTGCCCCATCCACTTCACTGTCCAATATTTTTTTTCCTTAAGATGCACAGTGAGGATGTCTGCTCTGGGAAAAGGATGCTCCATCCACAGTCATCAACACAGAGTAGCATTTCCCTCTTTTAATTTTGTCTTTCGTGTTTCCAAGCATGGAAGAACAGACTGAATTCTGAACTTACTCCACACATCCTTTATGGGAGAACTCATTCAAAGTGATTGGGCATTAGTGCAGTAAGGACTGTTAGAAGTGAACTGAACACGGCAGAGCCACAGAAGTGAGATCAGCTTGGTATGATGTGCCATCTGTAAAAGAACAGAGCCAGGTCCCTCAGCTCAGCCACCAACCTAGCAGAAATTATAAGCAAAGGCCAACAGCCCAACTTAGGAAGCGATATATTTCAGCAAAACTGTTTTTGTTCATTATGGGATGTCAGTCAGAGCCTTGGGAGCAGTATGTCTTTAATGTAACTTTGCCAACGATGGGGCTCAGAAGAGATGGACAGAAAAGACAAGAAGAGAGAAAAGTTTGTGACAAAGTAGCTGGTGGCTTGGTAGTTGACAGTAAAGCAACCACTCCTCCCAGTTTTCATCATATGGCCTTTGGAAGACTCAAGCACTGCCATGCTCCCAGGGAAAAATGGTGCCATCCAGCCATGCTTTCCTCATCAGGAGTCAGTTTTACATCAAACCAAGCCTATAAGCATCATTTCCTTCTATTTTTTAACAGTGTCTAATTGAAACACACTATCATATTTGCTGTCTCAGTTTTAATTCTTCCACATCCAGCTGGAAACAGACAGATGTTATGTGCTACTCAGTGGTAGAATGGGATGCCAAAACAATAGGAAAAATAAATAGATTTTAGTTCTCTACAGGCTATTCCAGCAGATGAGACAAGGCTCCTGGCCAAGTTGCTAATAATAAGCCAATTAATTTAGTATGTTTGCAGAGCAAATGGTCACATCAGAAAGCTTCTGATCTAATCAACATTGGAGAGTCTCCCAGCCTGGCTGTGCTAAATGTTAGCACTGTCAATCTCAGTTTGCAGTATGAGATTGCTCTGCATTTACCCAAGGAATGTGCAAGGATGTCTGGGTCTGGGGAGTGGTAGTGAGTGGGGTTAAATCCAGCTGGCCATTGATCTCAGGTGGTGCTCCTCCTCAGGGGGATTAAGTGCACCCTCAGCAACTTTGCAGATGACATCAAACTGGGAGGAAGTGTTGATCTGCCTGAGGGGAGGTCCTACCAAGGGATCTGGATAGACTGGATCGAGGGGCTGAGGCCAACTCAACTTCACAACTCTTGTTGTGAAGTTCAACAAGAGCAAGTGCTGGGTCCTGCAAAAATAAAAATGAAAATAAATATTGGTGAAGTAAAGGAAAAACAGATGAGCAGCAGCTGATGGGCCTGGGGAATGTGATAAGCTATCGGTCCATGTGGCACGTGGGGATGGGGTCCTGTGCATAGAAACCTGGGCATCTTACAAAAAGACCATGAAGCTGGGAGGAGGACCTCAGCAGGGAATGCCCTTGTGCTGTCCATGGAGCAGAGGCCACACTGCCAGCCAATGGCCATGGCGTTTCAAGGACATTAAGGTGTGCAGGAAGGTGACTGAGGCTCTGTGCAGTGGGATGTGTGCCTGAACCAGATGCTGGCAATGAAACTCTTGGTTCTATCACTGCATTTGTGCCTGCTCAGTGCTGCCTTGAAACCCAGCCAGCAAGCATGTGAGAGATGGTAGGCATTTATCACTTCTGTTTCTTGCATCTGTTTTCTGGTTGCTTAATAAGAAGCAAATGGTTTGTATTCCAAATGGAGCTGTGCAGCCAGTGTGAGAAATACCAGCTATTAGCTTTGGTGCTTTGGCTTTAAATACAGTTCTTCCTCAAACCAGCCATGGGCACGATGCTGTGTTTGCAGGAAAAAACATCAATGTGCCATTTCTGCTGCAGTTCAGAGTAGTTTGGGAATGGGCTTTGAACTGGAATCAGGTCATCTTCTTTCACTGACACATTTTTAGCTTTCTAGGTAGAGGTCAGGAAAGCAGAAGGTCTTAAGAAAAGACAGTATTTAGTCTTCTGGAAAATTATTATCATAGAATCATAGAATGGCCTGGGTTGAAAAGGACCACAATGATCATCCAGTTCCAACCCCCTGCTATGTGCAGGGTCACCAACCAGCAGACCAGGCTGCCCAGAGCCACATCCAGCTTGGCCTTGAATGCCTCCAGGGATGGGGCATCCACAGCCTCCTTGGGCAACCTGTTCCAGTCCCTCATCTCCCTCTGTGTGAAAAACTTCCTCCCAAAATTATGGTATTATCCCATTCGTTTTTGACCCAATCTAATCTAACCTCTCATCTATTTCAGAGCAGAGTCAGCTGTCGCTACAGCCACTAGATTTCCAGCAATGCCAGAACAAGATGACATCCATCTCCATTTTTAAATGGCTTTGTCACCAGAAAAGATTGGGTTTGTTTTGTGAACAAATACTGCTTTGAAGGAATCCCTCTTTCCCCCAGTTTCATCCCCAGAAAGAAGAGGAAACGTGCCTGAATGTGAGCTCCAGCTTCCTGGGGAGAGGCAGAAACCAGAGGCTGGAATGACAGTCACCCACTAAGCCACTTCAGTGCTGCAGAACAGACACCATCCTACATTGCAGAGATGGCTCTTCTGGGACAACCATTGCCTGAATCACCTCCTGATAAAGCTGCTCCCAGATTCATGTTTTCCATAGTTACTTCACATCCTATAATAGAGGTTTTACTATTTAAATACTGTTGTGTTTTCTTCTTTTTTTTTTCTTCCCTTGGAGATGGGAGGGACCCTTTCCTTTCTTCCTTTCTCAACAAAGGTTTTCTTCAAAAACCTCAATGCTATGAATTATTAATCGCCAGACTAGAGGGTGATAGTGAGAAAAGACTTTTTTGTGTGTGTGTTACCATATTGAAAGAGATCTTGGAGAAAAGGGAATCCTGAGGGCACATCTATGCTGCTACACCAAAGG